ATCGAGCGGTCAGATGCAACCGGCAGCAGGAACGCGGTATCACATTCAGTGAACTCTGCTGAAAAGATACATGTCATTTTTCTCCCACGCTAGGAGCGCTTGGTAATAGTGTGGCCCTGGGGAAAACAACAGACTCTGGTTTTGATTCTCAGATCTGCCGGTGGCAAATCACTGCTTTTCTCTCGGCCTCATTTTGCCCACCAGTATACGAGAATAACGACAATTCCTTTTAAAAAGCTTTCGGGAGTTATACTGTATGACAATTAATTTTGTTTGAAATTAAATTTGAAATTCCACTCCTACGTTCCTAACTGGGGAAGTGGATTGATGCTTTCTTCAGCATCAGAACTCTCAATGTCAAATGGCTATTTTAGGAAAACACTTTAAAAAGGTGGGCCTGATTTGTTTTCTTAGAGCTCATCTGGAAATAGAGCTAATACATTGTGCTCGAGTGCTTAAAAAAAAATGCTTTATCCTCCATTAATACGTTATCATAGGATGATTTTATTTATTGTGAGGCAACTTTGGTGAATTTTTATCAACATTTCCATTTTGTTTCAAAGTCAAATTCATTATTCTGATCAGAAAGTGTTTTCACTTGCAGGAAATACTTAAAAAACAGAAAAGGAAAGTATACTAAATACAAAATAAAGGAAACAACGACCAAAAAAACCCACGTTTCCCATCTGAGTAGTAGTTTTACTAGAAATCTGGTGCTCTGAGAGTTACTGTATCTACTAGTCATGATTGCCAAGGACCATAGACATCACCTCAGTACAGGAACATATTTTATTTATAATCGGCTTTGTGATCGTATCACTATTTAATAAGGCAAGCTAATGGTGACGTCTAGTATGTTTTATCCATGGGCGAGGAAAGCAACATTTAGATCTGGTGTGGCAGCAGGTGCTTTGAGCTCTGACTTGAAGGCTATTTTTCTGAAAGCTGCTTAAGCCTGCTGGACTTCGCCAGGGATAGCCTTGTACTCATACGTGCCTCGCTGCTTTTGGCATCAGCAGAAAGAGAACTAAGGAAAAGAAAGTGAAATGCGTGAAACAGCCACAGTTCAATTATTAGCGTACAACACTAATTCACTGGAAAGGCTTCCGTTGGCCCCATCCTCCCGGCGAGCTGTCAGACAGGAGAGAGAGGAGGAGATATCTTTAGGCTCATTTCCAGCAGAGCGCTGCCGACTTGTAATTAACTTGTCTATGGTGGCACGGTGTTTGTACAACTGCTTGACACATTAACCTGTACACGAGCACAGCCCCTGTACAAAAACTCTCCAGGCATCCCCAAAGGACCAGAAAACGCAGCTGGGAGCTCTGCGATAAGGAGGTGTTGTGATCTGGGCTGCTATCTGATGGAAAGAGATACTGCTTTGGGAAGTGGGACCCAGGGGAATAATACAGCAAGCGGCTTTTTTGGATATGTGATAGAACTTCTTGCAGATGCTATACAGCTGCATTTATGTTTTATGTCTGAGACATCTGAGAGTCAGCTTTTGGTTAATTGCATTTGCACTACGCTTAGACACGCGTGTAGCCACTGATGGAGGGCCCTTTTAGAACAGTTTTCAAGAACCAGTATGAATGAGATACTGATCAGGGATATTATTCCCGAGGGAGGACAATTAAAAAAAAAAAAAAAGAAAAGAAAACAAAACAGTGCAGACCTTTGGGTTGTGCCCATTCTTGTTTCCTTTGCTTATTATATAATTGTTCAAACGACTATAGCTGGAGAGATCGCATCAGTTGCATTATTCCCTGTTTTGGTAATTCGGGCCCTAAATATATTCTGGGCTGCACCCTGAAAACAAAGGGAGTGAATGTTTTTAATGAATTTCACATGCAATGGATGCATTATATGGATGATATATAAGCAAAAACAAGAAAAGACTGAATTAAAATGGGTTTGGTGAGAAAACAGTAACATTTGCCAATTCCATAATAGAGATTCAATTATTCCTGGTATGCTGACCACTAATTGGCAGCAACAATAACATGTAACACAATGCCTGCCGTATTTCCATAATACTTTTTGAAGTACAGATAGACACACCCATTTTATGCCAGAATCACATGTTTCTGCCCTGTGCTCACAGGGCTTTCAAAGGAGGACTGAGGATGAATTAAAGCACATACGCTGTGTGCAACAGGCAAGGTACTAAACAAGTCGGGATATTACACCTAAACCGTGTGAGACCCAGCTTTTGGTTAATTACAAACTGATCCATGCTTCTACTCGTGACACCAGACTGCTGCCGTTTTCAATAGGCTGAAACTTAGACCTACAATTGCAGAATCTTAATTGCATTTTCCCATAATTAACTTTCCTAGAACTATAGTTCCTCCTAAGAAGGATATGTTTTTTTTAATCTGAAAAATTATTTTGTCTGAATAAATTCATTCATGTGCATGTATTTCAAAGTGCAGCTCTCTCTCCACCCTCTTCCTAAAACCAAGCAAAAAAAAGAAACTCAAACATTTATAAATATGCAACAGTAATTATGTTATACAGTGTTTACGAGTCTAAATTAAAGAATGAAACTGAAAGACGCATAATAATTTTACTGCCCCCTTAAAATAGATAGTAAAGAGAGACAGAAGGGATCGGAACTTAAAATACAAAATGGTTTTTATTTAGCGTAGTACCAATAGCTTTGCTATAAACCCTGTTGCTATAGGTGTTCAGTATACGAGCCGGACGACAAGGTCCACTGGGATGAATGGGAGCCATTCCAGTGGCATCACCAGGCTTCGGTTCAGCCCTGTAAGCACATATACCCGTATACGCCCCCCCCATTTTCTGCCTGTAGATACAACACGTTGGGTCTTGTATACGTAGACACATTGATACCTGTGTGTATACACATCCACAGGCTGTGAGGAGCTGCTTCCAACGCTTCATACCGTGTAACACAAAGAGCTGTCCCTGAAAGCATGCGATCAAACTGCTGCCCACTTAGCTGCGGGTAAGCTCCTGACACCCCCAGGGACTCAAATCGGTCTCCGAGATGTGACTGGCATGGAGATGGCTTGTTGTCTTTCAGCCCCTCATTTCAAGCAGGTTATTCTACTCCTTCAAGTAGCATACTGATTAAATAACTGGTGTTAGCTGTATTTGACTCAAACTGCAAATATTAGATCCTGTTGCAAATAATGAGATCTGGTGTGTCTTGACGGCAGCAAAAGCTTCCTTTTCAACGTGGGATGGGAAGAGGAGCACTTTTACAGGACTAGACAAAAACTAATCAGGTAAATTAGCCTCTTTTCCATCAAATATAAACATACAAAATCTGACTAAACTTCAGCCAGAGCTGCTGATGGATGAACTTCAGAAGGCTCACAGAATTAGGGAGATAAACCACTTTGATTCGTGCATCCCTGTAGGGGAAGATGGAGGTGAAAAGGGAGAAGAAAGGAAGGAACGTAACTTCTGCATGGAACAAGGGAACTTTTCATTTGGGCTGGAAATCTAATGAGAATACTGACACTATGAAACTAGCAGATATTTAGATGGTAAAAAGCCATCTGATTTTGGGGAAACCTCTTCCTATGTTAGAAGAATTCCACATAAAGTAGAATTAGTGAATTATTTTTTATTTTTGTTCAGAAATAAGATGCTTACTTATATTTTGTATATAAGTATCATTGCTGCAACACAAAATAACTTGCAAAAAGTTCTGTTACGCTCTTAAAATACTTCATTTTCATAAAAAACATCATCGGTAAAACATCGTAATAAAACAAGGCCAAAGAATTGCTTTTGTTTTCATGCCTAACGTTGACATTTTAAAAATTCATTTCCATGGGTACTAGTTGAAGACTTTTGGTATGGTACCCATGATATACACAGACTGCCGTGACTCCCTGTCACACCACCACCTGTTGAGGCACTCAGAGGACTCCTTCAGAGAAAGGTCCCATCGTTAGAGTCGATATTAGGAAGGTGGAATTCTACAGACATCCCTAGCGCACAAAATGTGGATGAAATGCTTTAGTGGATTGAGGCCAGAAGGGGTGACAGTCTGGTCCAAATAGCAACCTTTTGCAGAACAGCAAATTCAAAATACAGGCCAGTACAAGATGATGCTTGTAATATCACACCCTGATTTCCTAGAGAAGAGTAAATACAACTACCCAACAAGACAGCTTTGCTGGTTTCTACCTCGCTTCTCAACCTAGGAACGGGCAGAGCCCGCGTGGCAAGACACTGCTGTTGAAGAGGGAAGGCTGTTAGCCTGCCCCTTTCAGGAAGGGTTGGCTTTGGAGTCACAATTTTCGTAAAGGAAGTATACACACATTATCATATAAACAAACAATAATATAGCAAGAAGTAATAAACAAGTTTTTCCTCAGAAGCAGCAAATAGTAGCAACGAAAGAAGTATGAGACAAATCTGTACTTTTTAGAAGAAGTCACCAGACACCCAAACCTTTTGCCGCTTCACTTTCTCCCTTCCTAGGTAAGCCCTGTTCTTGGTCTCTCTTTCCTAATTACTGTGGCCAACTTTGATAGGTAGATTCAGCTACAAAACATCTAGTGAGCCAAGCTGCCCTCTCACAGAGTACCCTAGACCGGGCGATCCTGCTGCAGGTTGGAAAGCGTGGCGAGGGAGGCGCAGCAGGGGGAATGTGTGTCTGCGCGTGTGCCCGCACGTGCAACGACACACACGTGTAACGACGCTTATTCTCGGTCAGCACTTGGGGCCGTCGTTTCCCAGGAGGTCAGAGTGGGTAGGGGTAATAGTAAATAATTTTCTTCCCTGAGGAAAATTAAACACGTAGGTGACCTCAGTTCTGCACTTCATAAAGCCAGTCTGGTACCAAAACGTACAGCTGCCTTCTCGCAGTGTAACGGTTCACTTCGCTGCACTTAGCTGTCACTTACACGTGTCCAAATGAGACTGGTGTTGTTTTATTCTATTCCAGATATTGCTCCTAGTTTTACACATAATGCGTTTGTAGTGATTCTGGAGAGTCTTTGGAAATCTATGGGGATATGTAAATATTATGCAAAATATCTCGGCAATTGCAAAAGACTTCAAAGGCAGCTGTAGGTGCTCAGGAGCACTTCCGAAATTCAGACCTTATGCAGAGCTGGAGCTCACATTCAATATTCTAATAAGCTGAATTAAAAAAGGAAGAATATTGGATTCTTTGTGCATTTTCAAAGGCAAACCTGTGTGAAGTGATTGGTCTTCAGTCTACAGCAAACACACTTCGCAATGTACATAGATTGATTTAAAAAAACCATGAAAGTTGGGACTTCTGAATTATTTTCTCTTACTTGCCCAGTGCTGATGGAAGAAAAAAATGCTATGCAAAAGTTACTAGAACTGCACATCACGGCACCACTAGAAAAAGCATCAGTTATGAAGAGGAATGTTGCCAATCACTTACAGTTTGTTCTGATCACTCCTTCCTTTGAAAGGCTTAAAAAGAGCAGCCAGCCAAATAAAAACGTATTACCTTCAAAGAGCCAGTACGCTGAAAACATTCTTCTGCTTTCAGTACTATAAAGCCTGGATCCACAGTACACTACAACAAAGTTGGAAGGACGGTAACGGCAAAGCATATTAACCACGTCACAGCAGCCGCTCAAACACTGGCTCGCTTCCGTTACGTTACTGCTTACCCGTGACAAGGTATTGTGTCCTGGTCTGCGATCCTTGACTCTTCTAGCTGTTGATATGCTGGTCCTGTAATTCCATTGAACCTACCCCGGGGTAAGGGAGGAGTCCTCCGAAAGGCATTTCTATGCAGCATCCCACTTTTTTGTCCTGGGCTGCAGCATGAAGAGAGACTTCTAGGAACAACACCAAGAGTACAGTAAAAATTATCACAGCAAAAGCGTAAACTTCTGCAAAGCAAAGATTCAGGATTAAAAACGCATGGATTACTGTTCTTATAAACTTTGCTGTGGCAGTCTATGACATCAGTAGAAATTCTCTATGGAAATACAGTACTATAATCCACAGTTAGCTGCTGTTTATGTCGTATTTAATGCGTCACCTCTCTTCTAGGAATGAAAGTAATTGCCTGGTATATTAAATGTTTCCTTGTACTTGATGAAGGATGCTGCTTCTCTTTCCATGCTGCATACCATAATCTTGCTACATTGAGTTGACTCCTCAGATAGTTTAAATAAACAGCCCAGCTCCATCATACCCACAGCTGAGCTCAAAATCGTATCTTAGATTTAGAGCCCACTGTATCATCTATCAGCCTACGGAGTGCTGCTTCCTGATAGAGCAACATTAAATTGGGAAAAAAAGTGAGTGAAGAATGTAAGTGAAGCTTATGAACTGCCTCTTGAAGAAATCATCTACGACACAAGTTTTCTCCACGTTGAACAAGATTTCTTTTCTATATTGTTTTAGTCTTGTTTTATATACATTGATTGTTTTCTTAAATAAATACTGTGTTGTTTCTTTATGCAATATAATACAGACTTGAATATGATAAAAACAAATAATAGTTTTCCACTTATTTTAGAAAATTGCTTTTGTAAACAACATTTCTGTACTGTTTCGGAAGGAGAATGGATTTTTTCCATTTCGTGCAGGAATTAAAAGGTGTCTAGAATCCATAGTATTGGTATATTGGTATATTAACCAAATTCAGCTGTTGCTAATGCAAAAATAAGGGAAGACATAACCTATTTCTACTGTTAACAGGTCACAGTACTGCATGGTGTGACTGGCTATTCATTTTCCAGCTACTCCTATTTCTCTTGACATCTCCTGGGTCTCAGAAATGCGTATGTATTACCTAATATTCTGTCACATCCTTAATGATGTTTTAATACAGGTTTTGTAAATTAATTTTAAGAATCATTATTTTTGGTTAGGTGAATAATTTCAACTTCTGATACAATTCAGCTACGCAAAAGACTTTTGATAAGTTTGCTTCTCTTTTCCTATTATAATGTGACTTTAAAAGCAATCTGCATTTTATACCTAGCGGGAACTTTATTTATAGTTAGGGCCACATCTACTCCCAAAGCAATTCTTGCTTGGACCGACTACGTTGGACAAATTCTCTTGGAGCGTACATTTCCATTAAGCCCGACCTTTTCTCCCCAAAGTCAAAACATAAGAAAGAAATTCAACAGTCTCCATCTATCCTACTGCTCAGGCTAGCAGTGTTCCATCACGGTCTCCGCTCTGTTCTCTTCCCCACTTTTACTTTCCTGGTGCTTTTTAATTGGAAAGATCAATAATCCAAAGCAATAGCACTCCCTCAAGGATTTTTGATGCTTCCTTAAATACATTTTTCCTTAGCTATTAAGGAGGCTGTGAAAAACTTCTTTTAAAAAACCTGAAGTTTCAATTCTGGAGGCTGCGTTCAAGTTGTGAGTTAGAGTTCATATCCTGTAAAATAACACTACCACATCACAAAACAATTGACAATTTCTGCTCAGGAGAGTCTGAGATTATTACAGCAGGGGATCTTAAAAGATGCAGCTGAATGAATAATTTGTGATGGATAATGAATGTCAGGGGTTTTTATTGATTGCAGTATATTCATCAATGTACTAGAAAAGTCAACAAACCGATTAACTTATCAGACTTCAGACTGATTGCAAATATTTGAAACTAGAAAGGCATTGCTTAATTGTGGTTGGTTTGATGCCCTTGCACATCTTCCTTGTTGGATGAGAGCACACGGTCTCCCATCTGATAACATGCCCATGCAAATTCACAAAATCCCTGCTTCTGTGAGAGATGTAATTGCAACACGTACAGGTGTACCGGAGATAACTGGCATAGCCTGCGGCAAAGAGGCATATAAATGCCCTATCTGTACTGCTCTGAAACTCCCCTTGCTACATGGAACGCTAGACGCTACAGGCTGCTAACGGTGCGGGGGCTGGTTGGACTGAAGGGATCTGGCACATGCCAACATCCTCCTGCAATCACAGCAGCTCCAGCACCGACAGAGCTTATTTGTTGCCCACGTGAGGTTCTTTCAGCACTTCTCACAGAAAAAACGGAGGGGAAAACGAACAAAGATCATTCGTGGTCATGGACAAGACAAATTCACTAAGAAGGACCAGGAAATATTTACAGACAGTGCAGCTGCAAGCAAGCTGCATGATAACGCTCATTTCTGAAGCACCAAAGACAAGATAGTAGCACTTTTTGTTGAAAGTTCGATGAAAAAGTAACTCCAGCATAATAAAGTTTTTCCTTTTTCACAAAACTGCCACGAACGTCAGCCTACTCTTCCTCCAGAATTGTTAATACAGTCCTTCTCAGGCTCCTGCTCTATTGCTCACGTGAAGCGTTCCTCTTTCTGAAGCAAACAATGCCTTTTGGATTTCTTCAGGCAATTTATCCTCCTTTGGCCATCATTATGGTTTCTTCCTCCCTGTACTCCAGCCTAACTGGGGAAAAGAAACCAGCCCACATAACTGAGCTGTTCAACAAAACAGACCAATAAGGAAAGCTGTGGCAGATATGTCTTTAAAATCTATTAATCAATTACTCCAGAATAACAAAAATCAGAGCATGCTTGAACTGGTTCACAAGTAATGCATAAACTAGGGATAAATATATTCTGATGAATTAATGGTTTGAAAGAAGCAGTTCAAGCATCTCTAAAGTTAATTAAGAACTTGGGATTCATTGTTGCAAATTGTTTTTGCGTGAAAATTTTCTTTAGGTTGAGCAACCGAGTAAAAACAAAGTCTGTCTCAGCAGGTGGAGTATTCTCTTCTCAAGGCACATACACAACTCCCAAGTGCAGTTAACCATGTTCATGAAGAGGAGAAGACTTGCAGTGAATTTACAGTAACTCTGGGAATCCTCCTGTACTACTTTTTAGTTAATTACTAAACAAAATTGGTTATACATCACATTATGAACACATTCAGAAGTAACTTTGTCAACAGGAACATGAAAAGCATTAACAAGAAGATGACAATTAAAGTGTTAAAACTTTAGATGGGATCCCAACCCTTCCCTTCTCGTTTAATAGGCACAGTGGAGCTACAGAAATAGTGCTTATAACCATGGTTGTGTGTACATCCATTTTACTTGTTCTTTCCCCTTTTTTCATGATTGTAATTCATGAAAAGAAAGATGCAAAGTTGAGGGAGGAAGGAAAGTTCTAAACTTGATTGTAAATACTCTGGCTCTGAACCTGCAAAAACTATAGAGAGAGGCATATTATATTACATACTATATTACCCACTGGTCACGAGATGCAAACATTAGTGTTGAAGACATGGGTTTTGTCCTTGCAGGACAGAAACAGTAAATAGACACCCCAATGACAGAGCTAGCTGCCAGATAGACAGTGTCTTCTGATGTTCCCTAGGAGCCACATGTTTAGGCTAAGTTAGACAATCTACTGCTAACATTTGTCCAGATCAACTATTCAGACTTTCAACCAATTTTCAGTTTTAATAAAAAGGGTCTGTTATACCTGAGAACATCAGCATCTCTCAATAAATACCATGCAACAATAATAACACTGTATCACGAAGCCCTTTTGTTAGACTCTTTACAAGAACGAGATGACACACAATGAGCACGTCTCTGTTGGAGCCTTGGCTCCCCAAAGCGAGAAAGTTAACATAATGTTTGGGTCTTCAACAAAGCTGGATGTGATTAAAATAATACTAAGATTGTAAGGAGATTATTATGCCAAAAAAGCCATGGCATGAGAGAACGGAACTTAATAGTTTTATCCCTTTTTTCTCTGTAGCGCCTTGTATTCCAAGCATTTAAACATCACTCTTTTCCCGTGCCTTCGCAAAGTAATCGTGCACTGTCTCAGTACACGATTGCTGTGTAGGAAAATACCTAATCTACAATGGCACGATGACCTGCGTTTCCTAGCTCATGTTTATGAACCGTTACAGCTGGTCAGGTTCTCAGCCCAGGTGATGGAGTGGGACTGTAGCCTGCTGTTTGCAAAACCTTCTTCCTCCGCATATGCAGGAGAAGCTTTCCAGCAGCCAGCCTATACCTACAAATCTACTCTTGATTTCTGAAATGGGAGCACTGTTGCTTCCATTGTATATTCACGTATTCAGGAATATAGCATGTGCCAGGGCTGATCAGGGACTTTGCAACTCTACATAAATCCTTCAACACTACCTATATCATCTGGTCACCGTCCCGGTTTCCAGAGGATAGATACATACAATAGGAAAAGGGAACAGAGCATTTGAAGGTACTTCAGTGGGACTGAGTTTAACCATCTGCCATAACTTCATCATACACTCCCTGTAGTGCATTGATCAACCTCCATCCTAAAACTACAATGATAAGCAGGCTACTGCTCCAGAAAGTTGTTCTATATTGAAAACTTTGAGGCTTCTTTTCAGTTTAAAATTATTTATGGTGAGTATACATCTATTTGTCATATGTGCCACCATACTCCTTCATTTTAAGTAGGCCTTCTGCTTCTCGTTATGCTTTCTCTGATGTATTTATAAGCAGCAGTCATATACTCTTTTCAGTCTTCTGAACTGAAGACTGAAATGAGACAGACTGTCTAACACTTCCTATGGAACACAGATTATTCATTCCTCATGTTAGCTCATGAATGCAATCTGAGTCCGTAGTGATCAGCAGGCCATTTTAACCAGGTGAGACAATCGTGGTGTATTCTCCTGCTATATTCAAATGAAGTGACAACCATGTCTCATGAAGTGGTTTTAACGTTTCTGACTTTCTGATGGAAATGTCTGGATTAATACTTCCTCTCATCCCACTTATCTTTTGCACAGCTGCATCACTTTGTGACTTGGTTATCCTTTGACCAAGTAGTATATACTGAACCTTTTCTTCCTCATTTGTTTCTTAAATTTTGTTATTGGTTCCCAAATTCCTGACCTTGCATTTAGTACTGCTGAGCTTCGCTCCACCTCTGTTATGCCACTCTTCAGAGTTATTCAAGTCATTGTTTATATCTAGATCCTTATCTGTACTGAGTCTAGCTTTTAACTGATTTTTTTTTCAGTATGTTCCAACTTTTTTGCGTCAAAGTCATGCACAAAAGCATTAAACAAAATTTGTCCCCAACGGTGACTAATTCTTTGAGACCTCCATTAGTGCTCTACTGGTGAATGTCTTCAGCCCAGCACTTACCCTCTCAACGTAACTCCTTACTATCTCCCTTTTAACGGCCTCTGTGTATCTGCATTATAGTTTTTCTGCCTCTCTCTACTTTCTCCCATTAAAGGCATTAGACACATGCGACAACAAATCAAACGTTGACTGAGGCTGTGTTGAGACCTAGCTCACCTACACCAAATACGAAGAAAGTCACCAGTGTAGTGTTGCAGGAACTGCTGCTGGTAAACCTCATGATAATTTTTAGCCTTTTACGCATCTATCCAAAGAATCTGCTTCCCCCACATTTGTCCTAAAGCCTTGACTACTCTAATTCAACATAACACGTCTTCAGTTTCTTCCATAAATTTTTCCCCTTCCTAAATATTTCACATTTGCTATTCCATCATCACGTGGCACGGCTCCCATTTTGACAGATTTTGCTACCAGACTTGAAATTTCATGAGCCAGTTCTCCTTCCAGACTTCTTTGATCAAGATTAACCACACCATCTTGACTTGAGGGCTTTGATTTCTGCATTTTACTTCCACTTTGACTGTAGTAATGTCTATTTTAATACATTTGATTCTATTCCCATTCTACCTTCGTCCTCAAATAACGATCCAAACTGAAAAATGAAATATATTCATTCAGGATTGCCCTGAACTGCTTCATATATTATCTCTGTCCCACCATCAGCTTTGCTTCTTCCTGTATAGTGCTCTTCTTGTTTATACAGCAAGAACAATTGATTGCTTTCAGTATTACCAGTAACTCTTAACTCTCAACGATTCCTGGAAATGTTGACTTCAAGCATGACTTCTTGCCCTCTGTGATATAGTTTGTTTCTTCCCCTACACCCCGTTCCTTTTAGGCATTCTTTTTAGTAAATTTATCCAGAAAACTATGTTCTTTCCTTGGGAAAGTATCATATTCCTTATGCTTTCTCCCCTTCAGGCTTCCTCTGCCTTTACATTCTTAGTTGCTTTAGTTTATCAATACTTGTTCTTTGAAATTCAATAGCCTTATTTACAGAATAACTATACTCTTAATTTAAACTGAATCAATTATATTGGGAGCAGAAAGAGTAAAATGCTTACTAAATAAAAAAAAATTGTTTTTACCATGGTTTTCATGGTGTTGAAAGTTCATTAAAATGCAAACACAAATTATTTAACATTTTAAAGTAAGTTTATCCTCTTTTGGCATTTTTGTAAGACAGTACAACTGCTCTAGGCTGAAAACCTCTGCATTTGGCTTTCAACACGGTATTCTCTGAAAGGAATCCCTCTAAAATCAATGATGACTGAATCAATGAATGAAAGTCAGGATGACTAATTACCAAGAAAACTGCTATTCAGAGGGATCACAACTCAATCCCATAATTAACAAAACTGTAATTTGTTTCTATCTGTTAGAAATTAAGACAGTACGGGTGTTCTTCTTACTAAAATCAACACATAATCCAAGATGAATTTTTGAGCACATTGGATACTTTACAGGAAGTTTACTGATGAAGCGCATTTGTTACTTTCCAGTTCTGACAGTACTAAGAGTTGTTCTACATACGCAAGCAGATGATGTAAAATTCTTCTACCATAACAACAGTGCGTAATACAGGTGAAATATTTTAGGAGTAAGATTCAGTGGAGATTCAAATTTTCAGTTCAATCTCTGCAGTAATTCTTTGCATGCAGCTAAGGTTGGCAGAGGCAGAAAATTGCTATTACCTAGTAATCTGAGTGAAATAACTAGGTGATCTCTGTCAGTCAAATTTCAGCAACCCCAAATGATTTTCCATCTCGATAATCTTACTGCCAGGCCAAAATTGTGTTTGGTTTAGGAACTGGAAACAGATAGCTCCTGATTTTAAGAAATAATCGCCCATCATTAGTGCCCTTGAAGACACCAGCAGAGAAAACAGGTCTGGACGCAGACCAAAATACTTCCGTAGCAAGCAGAAACAAAACAGTAATATAGTTTAACAGCAGCATAAAACAGAGAACCTGCAGAGCTGCTGCAATTTTTCCAGGCTCACGTCAGGTTTGGAATGAAATGAAGGGATATTTAGGACAAAATGTATCCCAGTAAAAAAAGAAGTTTCCTCATTTGGCCACATTGAACACTATTTAGAAACTAAAGAAACCCAGTAAATTAGGAAGCCGTCACATGGTGCATAAATTAAAGACAGCCTTATAAGTCTTAAATGTTCAAATCTGTTGCATGTTTTATAAAGCAAGGGCCTTGTATAATAAATCTTAAGTTATAAAACTACAAAAAGAATTATTTATAAATTAAGCTAGTCATTCCACATCTTAAAACAGTTCTGAAGCGAAGACTCTTAAGATAGTCAGATGCTTGACATCTGCAAATAAGATGACTGTTGTTTGGGGTTTGGGTTTGTTTGTTGTTTGGTTCCCCCCCCCCCCAGGAAAGAGGGATTTTGTGTGCAAAGGTGTTAAAATGAGCAATCTGGGATTCTGCATTAGTTCACTGTAAATTCAGTGTGGCTTATTCTGTAATTTCCCTGTGGAAAACAGGGAGTCCAGAGAGTCATTCAGCTTTTATTTTAAGTGATGTTCATAAACAGAAGAAATATTTTCAGTCTTTATTAATTTCCACATTTTTAAGCTTAGGTAAAGTCATGGCACAGCACCTAAAACATTTCAAACTTGGATATTGCAATCATGTTATTAAAGGTAAGGGAATGTCACTGTGTTTTTTCTGAACTTCATCTCTTGACTAAATGGAGATAAAATTCCCCCCAGAACTTCAGTGGAAAGCATTCTAGGCAACAGTTCCATAGTTCATCAAATTATTAAGCGTATTTTGAAAATCTCTGTGTAATAAAGAATAAGCCCTAAGAAATGGATCTGACATGACAGTTGGCATTACTTTTTCATGCCAAATTACAGGCTTAAGTAAGGTAAAAGTAGATAGGACCCAAATATCCCTTCCTGGCTCATATGCTGCACTTTGGTAGGTTAAGCAAATGATTCATTCAAAAGAGAAGGACGATGTAGCTGACTGGGGACTGCAATGAAAATGCACCAAATACTACAGAAGCTAGACCATAACCTCACGCGATCCCAGACTTTTTTTTCAGTAATTTTAAAATATCATCCTTTTAACAAATAAGTCTTTCCCTCCGGATTATCTAGCTAAAAAAACTCTGAACTCATTTTTCTCAGCCTTTTTTCTCAGTGTGCTCTGGACCAGACGTTACCACTGCCGTTCCACCAACACTGTTGCTTGTACCAGACACGAGTTTGGTTTCTAGTCCCGTAATGAAGCATCTGCACTCTTTTTCATCCAAAAAGACTATAAGCAGAATTCTAATCTAAATGCCATCCAGTGATGGGTGACTTTCCTCTTTTTTTCCTCTTGGAAACAACCATCCAAACTTTTTAAAGACGAGTTTTCAAAGGCCACCATGTGTTCGTAAATAAGTCATTATTCATTTCAAGTATTATTTGTTTAAAGAAACAGTGAGAAAGGCTGGAAGTTTGCAACCGTGTCTTTCTGCAGCAAATGAGTCATTAACTTCGTGAACATCGATCGGGAAAGTCTTGTTTTTAATGGTTTCTCAAACTAGAGTTGTTTCATTCACTGGTCTGTGTCTACAGCTTGGATGGTGTCTTTAAATGCTTCCTCTAGGACTTTCACAAAACGGAGATAAATTTGGTGAGCATTGTTATTGCCTTTTATGTCTGCAGCTAAGAAAATGCTTGGACATCTGCTTAATAAGTCGGCTGAGGCTCTGTTGGTACCGTATCATTCAGCATCTCTCCTAGTCACAGCGCACGATAATCCTGCACACATATCACCGGCTCAGCGACACCCCTCAGCAGCCTGCCAGATCTCCCATCGGACGGCCGTTTGCTTACCTATGTTGCTTGATGGGCTGGGTTCCTCTGTCGGGAGACAAGGCCTCTGGGAAAGACGGAGGGCCTGAAAAACTAGACTCCATAACTTTGTCCAAAATAGGCCCAGGATGCCTGTCTGTTTTTGAATACTGTGGCACAGAGAATAAAATTAGTTAATACACAAAAGGCAAAGTACATTGTTGATGCTATTCCATCAGAATTCGTATCGGAGTGGGGTAAGAAGTGCAATTACTTGCACTTTACACATTACACTACACACATTACATTGCAAGTAATACATTCACTCACTGTTGTTTACATAGTGGAAAGCACCGGTACTCATTATCCCCATTACCTTCTCCACACCAAAGTGCTGATATCTGCATTAGCAGCAAAATTACTGACTGATCTGCCCATAATGATAGGGAACACTGATTCCTTTGAATAAAAGCTTGTTTTTGTGGCTGTCCATGCAGAGACTGAGATCACGAAACACATCTCAGAGGACGGTCAGCACCTTCTTGGGTCCTTCGGTGATTTCAGTCAAACACTGCTTTCAGCAGCACGCGTAACTATGAAAACCAAACTGAAAGAGCATCTGTATCATCAGATAAGTAAGAAAAACATTTGAATCCTATCCGTAGAGCCAGATATCCCTTCTGAACAAGTCTGACACTTTTGACCTGGGAGTATCTGTGCTACTAAGAACAGCGTCAACATAATTCTTCTTGCGACAGTTGTAGGCGTAGGGCAGTCTCTGGGCACATAGTGAGACACCGGACATGAACAAGAAGATATTTTCTTCTTCTTGCTTTGTGATTCAGCTGGAAGTTCAGCAAAAATTGTGTCTCTGATCCTGAATGGAGCCAGAAAGTCAAAGTATAAAAAAAGCTGCATTTTGGCTTGGAAGAAGAATCAATGTTGTTAGTGGTTACTGGGCAATATCTCAGAGATATGAGAGGTTAACCCACATTTCCACGCGGGTATCAAAAATACTGCACTTTGCGGAATTTTTCATGTGGCATTACAATGACCTGCATTAAAACTAATTGGTCGATTTTTCTTTAATCCATTTCTTTCTGTATTGAGTTTGTATTTTTAGTACTAGATACCTAGATATCCATGTTATCTTTACAATAAACTGGTATCGTGGAAGCTATTACATGATTAAATATTTTAGAAAGAAAATACAATTCAAACAATAATAATACAAAAAAAATCACGGTGGTAAAAAATGCCATGCTACGATACAATAGCATAAACATTCGTGGAGAAGATAGTAAGATTTCTTTTAAAGTACAGTTCTTTTTCATAATTATTTTGTTGTCTAACAAAAGGCCAATAACTCCTTAAAAACACAGAATTATTTTCTGATTCTCACTTATTCTTATCTACATTTCCCCAGACTTCAGCAAAATCAAAAAGGAAAGTCATACAAGATTACTCGTTTAAAAATGGGTTACATGCAGTTTTAGTCCATCTACTCAGACTTTTTATGACTGATTTCTACAGATAAAATAGCAGGTCTTCAAATTTTTCTCTAATGCTCTTCTCCCTTTTTCTGCGTGCGAAATACCCAGCAGATACGCCCGGGGCAGACCTCTGGTCTCTGACGGGGAGCCATTCAGCCATTCCTGCGAAATACCATTTCAAAGTTCTTTTCTGCTGCCTCGCCATACCCCCTGCCCTTTTTTCCCCCCTTCAATCTGCCAAGTTTTGTAAATATTTCATGAACTGCCTGCATGCATT